CAACTCCTGCATCAACCCTGTGGCTCTCTACTTTGTCAGCCGAAAATTCAAGAACTGCTTCCAGGTAGGGATAGTACCTCCATTGCCATAGACTTTGGATGAGGGGAAAGGCAGACATCAGGTACTTGTGGGGCCTGGCAATGGCCCACAGGATGCCCATATTTGCTCATTGTAACCCTCTTCCCAAATGTTCACCCTCTCTTCGCAGCTTCAAACACAATAGAGCTTCCTGCCTTGCTGCGGGGAGACTTTTCCCAGAGCAAGGCCTGTGACAAGCTCCAGAGAAGTCCCTGTCATTCTGAATCAGAAGCAACTCCACGTGCCTTTAAATCAGGAAGTGGGGCTGCTATAAACTTTGAGCCCAATCTCCTCAGAGAGAAATCTATGAAGGAAGGAAGCGCTGAAAAAGGATGGGAATGAGATAAAAATCACCTCCCAGCTGCTATGGCAAGGAATTGAGCCCACCTATTTTCTGTCCTTCAAGGACAAGGACAACTGCAAAAAATCCCTGAGGCTTTGCTACCTTCATTTCCAAGCCACACCAGCCCTATCTTGACAAACCTACTCCCATCAAATCAGTAGGAGAGCTCGGCTCAGTGCACAACCTGGCATCGCGCAGGTTCATCTGCCAAGAATGTTTCCCTCATATCCCACGTACATAACATTCATGCTTCGACCCTCTTTGTCTCCTTGCAGTCCTGCCTGTGCTGCTGGTGCCAGAGACCCGCTCTGAGCATCACACCGACAGATGAGAAGGGCTCTGTGGGGAAGTGGAAAGCCAATGGGCAGGAGCTTGGACTGGACCGGAGCAGCTCCCGCTTGAGCAACAAGTACAGCTCTTCCTAAAGCAGAGAGGAGAAGGCACTGTGACAAGATGGTAGGACACCTCAGATTCCCTTGCACAGCTATTTCCTGGCTGGGCTCAAATTGTTTTTGCCTTCATATTATAACCCACCCGGGTAAGAGCTATAGCATTTCACTGACCTCAGGACTAGCTCTGAACTAGCTCAGGGCTTTGCTTGTCCATCCTCCAGTCCAAGTCACCTCTGCAGGAGGAAGAAGAATGGGACCCAGCCCCTGTAGGACTTTTCTGTTCCTTGAAGGACAGCCAAGTGACTTATGGTCAATCGTCTTGGGTAGAAACACAGGGTGAGGAGATTGGAAAGAAAAGTAAGTTGAGATGTGGTCATTTGAAGATGGATGTGGGACAGGGAGGAAAGGGCAAGTAACCCAAGCAACAATTTCCAGCTGAAAAAGCAAAGCATTGTCCCTTATGATCTCCCTCTGCTGGAACAGTTTGTCCCTGGGCAGAGCACCATGATAAGACCCAGGTATCACATAGGTTTTCTAGACAATCAGTGACCTGAAATCTCCCTCAGCTCTGCTATCGAGGGGTGGGCAGCAACTCAGCATCACAGTGCAATCAACCTGACCTGGGAAGCCCTGAAAGATCTCCTCTTTACCTGTTCCCAGGAAATTTGTTCCAGGCTCTCCACTCAGGGATGGCATTCACCCTGCCTATGTATGGCACGAGAAGGTGACTGAATGCATGAGACAGCACAGCTTAGGAGTCCAGGTGTCCTCAGCAGAAGCCAGTGGCAGCATCCAGCCAAACCACCTGCTTCAAATTCCTCCTCCCCAGTTTCTGGAAGCCCAGCACTTCTTGGGCACGGCTCTGTGACACCAAGGTTCAGGCTATTTGTAAGGAGGATGCAGATTCTGTTCCTCAGGGTCAAGCTAAGGTGGAAAATACAATGGGGAAGACCTGATTTCAGCTGAAGTTGCTGTTGAAACTAACCAGAATATGGCAAAGAGCCCTCACAAACTTACAATTTAAAGTGATTAGACCCCAAATGCCTTCTCCAGCATGACTTTCTAAAAATCATGCTTGCACCCCTGACAACACCTCAAGAAAATCTGTAAGAGAATGTTTCATTTACCAGATTTTTTATAATTTTCCTGTTGTATTTTTCTTCTCTCTTATATCCCTTTTTCCTTTCCTCTTTCTCCTTTTCACCTTGTCATGGAGAAAAAAAAAAAAAGAAAAAAGGAAAAAAGAAAAAGGGAGAAAAAAAACTTGTAAATAAAGCTAAACTCATTCCATGTGACATTGTATTTCAGTGAAAGCTAAGCTAAAAACAAATATTTTACAAACAAATCATATTTTTGAAAGACAATTAGGTTTCAAATCTAAACAGAAGGACTGAGGGATATCTAGACCAGTAAGTTTTCCATAACCTTACCTACCCACTAGAGTAGATTGGCCTGGAGGCATTTCACAGTGCTGATGCTGTGCTCTGTCTCCGAGCTGGCATTTTGTTGGAATACAAAGTCATTGGAGAAAATTGATAGCAATGAAATGTTCCATCTTAGTAGAAGGATTTTTTTAAAATAATTGTGCTCATTAGAAAAATAGTTATCTGAATTTTACATATTTCTGTGAAGAGTCAACCTTTATCACGTTGAAACAAGCATTCAAAGGTCCTCTTCCATTCAGGACAGCCCCAGCTGTGTCAGCCTGGCTTCCTCCAGCTCTATCCAAATCAGCAATAGGAACAGCTCTGCCACCAGCAATGACTGTTCTCTTACCTGCACACTGCACGGAGACTAGCAGATTTAAACACACTGTTCCCATTCAACTCAGTGAAGACCGAAGCATCTGAATGATTCCCCAGCAATGACCTTTGGTAACAGCATAAGGAGCAGTGCCCCAAATGTTCAAGATCTGTGATTCTCTCCTAAGGACAGCCAGGCCCTGTTCATACTCACAGTACAGACAGCAATTACATCCACACAGGGGAATCTTTTTACTTTGCCTAACCTCCCGGACCCCAAATAGCTAACATTCCTCTTTATGCTCCACAGCAAATTTAATCATTTCTGCATTAGCAGCTACTCTCAGATCAACATTTTCACCTTAAATGGTTCAAAACCAGTCTTAGATCTGCACATGATTAATATTACAACAAACAGACTGCCATGAATTCATCCCAGCTCTGGACGTTGGTACCACTTGCTGCACAGCTGCTTAACACTGACTACAGACTCCTTGCCTTTCTTTCCCCTTGTGTTTTCCTCCCAAGTGTCTCCTATTAAAACCAACATCGTAAAATCTGACTAAGTGTGAGAGGGCAGGGAGAGAAGAGAGCTATCAGCTGCAAAGAGCATCCTTTTAAAACTCTTACGCTGCGGTGGCATTCACTTGGCACTTCTCAAAAGTCTCTATTAGGCTGCAACCAAGACCATGTCAAACACAAAGACAAAGCAAGGAACACCAGAAAACAAGTGCCCGTGCAGTTTAGCTGCTCATGGAACTGCAAGTGCAAAAACAGCTCCCACCTTTCAAGATCTTTTTCAAGTTACTCTCCATGCTGCTGGGGCTTAGCAGTCACAGGACTGAGCCCAGGTGTATCAGTCAGGTTCTTATTTATTCACCCCTTTTCCCTTCAGCCAAGCCAGACAGGATCAGACAAAATCAAAGCCACCACAGCCACCTGTAAAGATGCAGGAACCCATTGGCATGAGCAAGATGAATCCATTGCAGCAAACTGAAGCAAAAGAGTCTTATAATGAAATGCAGGGTTCAGATGGCTTCAGGACCTACTGCCTGTGAACACAAACCCACTACCAGTCTGCCAGAAACCAACTCTGTCAATTTGTATTTGAAAGAACAATTTTATTGAGAAAACCTGACATTTACATCCTCTTATTCCTCTGTATGTTAATAAAACATGTTGGTGTTTGAAAGGAAAGTCTCTGGGTGTTTCTTATTAAGCAGCAGGGGGTCTGCAAAGTCTGCTAAATACTTAATTGAGTGCCAGCAGGTTCTTTTGGTAACTGCAGACCTCCACTGAAGAGACAGAGGTGCTCCCCCTGGGCAGAGCAAACTGGGAAGGTTCACACTCCTGCACCCAGCACAGAGCAGAAAGAACTCCTGTTACTTCATGCCACATTACACTCAATGAAAGGCTTTCCCTGGCCTGCTGCCAGCAGATCTGAACAAGGCCGGGGTTTCAGCACTGCACTCTCTAGATAAGCTCACAAGGAGTGGTCTGGGCTTGTGGCTGTCTGCATTCTGCAGGGGGTTTCAATGAAGCACGTTTCATTGTGGCTTTTTTTTTCAATTGTCTCACCATGAAATGATTCCCTGCTCATTTGAGGGCGATCTGTTAAAAAAAATGAAGGCTGATTATATTACTTGAATGCAACCAGAGGGCAAAGAAGCTGGCAAAAGAGTTTGAAGGCGTGTCCTGCACAGAAAGTCTGAAGACACTTGGACAGTCCAGTCAGGAGGCCAAGAGGCAACCTCACTGCTCTCTGCATCTTCCTCTGAGAAGTGAGGAATGACACACAAGTCTCTTCTCCCTGGTAATCAATGACAGAATGCAAAGAAATGACAGAAGGATTTGTCAGGAGGGGTTCAGACTGGATACGAAGAAAATTTGACCATGCTCAAGGTAAAGAAACACTGAAATAGGCCTACTAGCAAGGTGGCTGATGCTCCATGACTGTCATTGTCCAAGAGGCATTTGGGTTTGGGGCCAGTAACAGAAGGATTTACATCAGAAAGAGGCTATAGCCTCTCTCAAAGCCTGATTTTACACTGCATTGAACACCTTTATTCCCCTTGTATGCTGGAGCAGAGCAGCTCTGTGCACCAGACTACTTTCACCATCACAAGTGATCTGAACATCCTGGGCAGAAAACAGCGACATTTGAAGAGGAGAAGAAATAAAGAGTGAAAAGAGCTGCCTTGCAGCTATCGTTTTCTGTACCTGCATGAGCTGAAAACAGCAACACCTCTGCAGCATCAAACTTCACATATTTTATTACTAGAGAAAATACACACATCAAAGTAGTTATTAGAAAAACCAAAACACTCTTGACACGGGGAATTCAGTACATGAACAATACAAACATCCACGAGGACCACCATTCCCAAATGCTACTGCATCTCTTCCTCCCTCTGGGCCCTGTATTTTCTCATGCTCTTCTGCAAGCAAGAGCAAAGGACAAATGTTAACAGCAATACATCTGAGCGATTCACACACCAGCATCACCACATCAGTTTGCGCTGTGACTTCTCCATCCAAATCCTGGAACAGTTGAGGGATCACAAAATGCTCCAAGAACTTCCAGAAGAGACTGAGCCTTTAGTCACCACAATACAAAGGAAGTGAGGCCATGCCTGCTGTGTCCAGCTGCAGGGGTAAGCCCTAAAGACGCTGTGCAAGCTCTGGCCTAATCCTGGTCGACGCGTTGAGGAAATACTGAGAGAAGCCAACCAAGCATGCTGTGGGACGACATGCTCAGCAGCTCAGTCTCCAGTACCCTGGGTCTGCTCTCCACCCCCAGCTCCAGCTCTCGGCCACTCTCCTGCTGAAATGTACATCCTAGAGACAGCACTCAGAACTGGGCAGTCCACAGATTGGCTACAGGGAACCTACAGCTCAGGCTGTAGTGAATGTTCTGGCACTTCTCATGTGGAAGCAAGAAGTTCAGAGGTGCTTCCATTTAAGCTAAAAGACAGGAAGTTTGAGAACTCCTTCCTCCATTACCTGCAGGAATTTCTGCTCCTTAATGCTCCAGCCATAGCAAAAATACAGGCAGAAATACTCATGGAACATCAAAAATTTCTGCTGTACCAACCAGTGCCTTCCACTGGAGGACCCACAGGGCTTTGCAAAGACTGACTTGTCTTCTCCTCTTCCCAACCCCAGTGGCTGAAGTAGTGGTTTAGGACTTGGAAAACCACTGTCAAACCAATGTCAGGCAAAGAATGTCTGAAAAAGCTACCAGGCTTTTTGTGACAAAAGTTCTCAGTCCCTCTTGACCAAGAAGGCCCCTGAGCTCTTCAGGCAACAGTCTCACCTCAAAGGTATCGAGTACGTGTTGGCAAACACCCATCAGGTCGTTCAGCCCTTTGCGGAATGGCTCAACAGCAGGAAGGGACCCTTCAGAAAAGCAGATGAATTAGTGAAATGGGAGGTGGCTGGGGACCTTTCCCTCAACACTGCATGCCAGCATGGCTGTTCCCATAATATAGAGAGGCTCTTACATGGCAAACAGCAATGTGTGGGCTCCTGCCAGCCTATCACCAAGATCTCAGAGCCTACATGCACTAGGCTATAGCCCAGGAACAGCAGATGCTTACCCTGCAGTTAGTCCAACGTTGGCAAAGCCAACAGGCAGAGCAGCAATTATTTCTACAAAGTTGAAGAGTCAGCAAGCACAAGCAAGCAACTTGCTTCCAGGAACTGACTTCTACATATTTGATGCTCAAGGGATCAGCCCCATGGGGAAGGAATGAAATAACAGCAGCTCTCTAGGCAGCAGACAAAGCTGCAGAGCATACAGGGCCAGGTGTGTTGGGAGGAACAGGTGATTGCAAGAGGCTCAGAGCTGTCAGTGCTACCTATTGTCAGGGGACAAAGTCCTCTTCAGGAGACAAGTCATTGGGTCAGCACATAGAGACAGCGTTTCAAGACAGCCTCAGGTCCAAAGCTACAAAACAGCTGAGTAGTTGAAAAATGAATTATCTTGTTGCAGTTAGTTATGTCAGCACAGTTTCTAAACACCACACTGACTTAAGGAGAGATCAACTCTAACACTGAACAGCAGATCTATTCTACTTCCAGCACTACCGTTCAGGGCCTGCTGCCAACCAACTCAGACACCTGGAACCAGGCAAGGCCATGGGATCCTCAGGACTCAGCTGGCAGATGCTGCTCAGCCCTACAGCTGGGAAACAGAAGAGCTACAGCACAAAGCTCAGAGCAGCCTCCCCAACGAAGCAACAGGGCACAGAAGTTGCAGATGGCTAGCACAGAAGAGAGAGAAAAGTGCATTTCTTTGTTTGCACAACCCACAGCTGAAACCTGACACAAGCAAGGTGAATCCCGCAGAAATAGCCAGACACAAAGAGGACACACACACATCCATACCTCTGGTCTGAATGCGGAAGTTGATCTTGCTTTCAGACGGGTGTGTGATGCAGTAGCCACAAAACTCCACATCAGGGCTGTGGTGGGGAAAGAGAGAAAAAGAGCAATGGAAGCCCAGACTGTTCACAGCACATCTCAGCAAAGTCAGAATTTCAGGCCATCTCAGATCTGCTGGGGCTCAGGATTCTTCTGCAATGACCAAGGGGCTCCCAGGAGGAGTATGCTGCAAGGAAACAGCCTGAATAATGTTATTCACATTCTCCACCTTTGAATTGCAGCTTTACAAAGCAAGGATGTGTCTGGCAAGCTCCTAGCACCACCAACTGCCCAGTAGCAGGCCAGAGAAACAAGAGCATCCTCTGCATTTCAGACACACAATTTCCTCCATGATTAACCACCGAGGAGCAGTAAGGACTAGCTGTTACCTAAGGGATGGAAAGCTGGAAGCCAAGAAGGTTAAGACAGCCAACGGGCAGTGAACTCATCAGCCAGCCCCATCCTACAACACTCAAGTGGTAGAATAAGGTAAGCCTAGAGATAGTAGCTAAGATCAACTAAAGGTCATCAGGTAAGTCTGTGGGGGTAAAACAAGTCCAAGGGCTGGCCAAAAAGTCAATCCACAGGCCAAGTGAAAGAAACCCAAGTTAAACACAACGGAGTGATCACTAGATAGGCCTATAATGATAAGAAAGGATTGTGACCAGGTCTGTAAAGTCTGTAGCCAAGTACAAGCAATACTATGGCCAAGCTAGGAACTAATGCTCCTGTCAAACAGGCAACAGCTGGAAGCCGTGAGCTCAAATGAGACTCCTGAACCAATGGGCAGGGTATGGAGGTTCCAGGTGAGACCTGTCAGGCTCCTTAAGGCTTATGAGTGCCTTCTGGGTCCTGATAACAATAAGGAAGGAAAAAAAGAAAAAAAAAAAAGCAGCTGATTTGGGGAACAGAAGTCACAGATAAGGAATCTTTGATGTGTCTGATATAAGACCTTAACAGATACAGAAGGAGGTGACTTCTGATTACATGTTTCATTCTAACACCCTGAGGTGCAGGTTATTAAAGAGAAGGCTAGAATAGGAGACAAGTGCTCTTAGCAGCACCAGACACTGTAGGGGCTTTACTTACTTTTTCATGACCATGTATCGGAGGGAGTTGCCAAGCGTGTGATCCTCATCATGCAGCACAAAAGTGACACAGTTTCCATCTGTTCCATCTGCCTGGACCTGCCACAAATTGGGAAAGAAGAGATGCCATAATGTTTTCTGTGGTAATAAAGACCAGGATGCTAGTGAAGAATCTGGCCTGATTCCAAGCTACCAGAGGCTGAAAAAATTGCACTTGTTTCTCTTTCAACAACCTGCACCTGCCTGTGCAGGGCCTGTTTCTGGGGGATAATGTAGAAGGGGTTATTACTGAACCCTGTAACACTAGCAGCAATCCCCTAATTCTGCTGTTTTAGGCTTAGGCACACATAGAAGTATGAAACTAGCCAGTGTTTCCTAAGAAGCCCAGTTTGGGATCTCCTCCAATGCCAGTGAGCCACCTAACCGATTGCTCAGCTACCAGAGGGATGCTCATCCCCTGATATTTCCCCATGTTCCACAAAACCTGGTATATCCAGATGGCATTGATCATTTCCACTCCTAGCAGCAGAGAGACTTTGAAGCTAAGTGAAGAGCCTGACTGGATGAGTACTGATCTCTTTGCATCCTGCCTCTTGCCAAATCTTCAGCTGCTCCAGTGGTTTTATAACCTCCATGTGGAGCAATGCTCCCCTTCCTCCTCTTACAGGTACAGCAGCCCCAGGGATCTGACTCAGAAGCTTAGAAAGGAGATGCAGTCTGCTTCCTGCAAAAGAGATCACCCAGATGTTCAGCATGACTCCAGGGCAGGTTCCCGCACACCAGCTGTTGCAGAAGAGCAGATGTGATGCAGCAACATGAGGATGTTGGCCTGATCCAGTCTCTTTCACCTCCTAGCAATTTGCAATCCACCCTCAAAGCAGTGTTACTGGTGATTAAAATAAAGAGAGGCAAAACGTTCTGTTGTAATGGCAAGGCAACATGTGACTTGTGATTTCTGGAAGACAGCCTGCTGCTCTCCTGCTTGCTGGACCCAGCACCTTCCCTCCTTCTTCCAAGAAACAGCTGCTAGCCTCAGTTCCTCTTACTGTTGGGCTTTGCAAAGAACTATTTATTAAAATTGTCCTCAAAGGGGATTTTCTTTTTCATTAAGAGTAAAGGCTTGGAGAAGAGCAGGCTAATTTAGGAGGAAGCTGCCTGGCACTACAGCTGCATGGCACCCATTTTTGTTTCCTGCATTCAGCTGCACTTTAGCTCAGGTTTAAGCGTGTATACACAAAAAGTTGTTTCTCTGACTGGGAGCAAATCTTTACATCTGAATTACAAAATTGGCATAAAAATAACTTGAAAAATAGGATGCTTGGAGCTTTAGCAGATAGATTTGGGAGCACCAACTTCAGAGTCCTTTCCAGAGCTGAAGGAGCTTTTGCATACAGGAAGCAGAGGAACGGGACAGGATGCATCTCCTGCATGGCGGCTGGGTCTGCTTGTGGGAGAGAGCAGCAACACAGTGGGTTCAGCTGTCTGTGCCTCCTTAACACACTGTAAGTACCCCGTGCACTGATCTGGCAGATAAAAGCCAAAGCACAGCTGTTTCCCATAGCCGTAAGGAACATGCTATGCTGAACCTGCTTCATCAGACTTAATTTCTCTCTCTCCTTTCCTGTGGAGAGTGCTTTGATAAAATTCAGGACTTCAGCAGGACCGTAAGCTTCACTTCTCATCCAGTCACTGTCCTGCCTAGTCAGATATCTCACTTCTGGCACAGTCTGAGGCTTCAGAGGAAAACCAACGCGCGCCCTGCCAGAACACAGCCAGGACAATTACTCCCCGCAGCGTTGGGTCTGTGCTTTGAAGCAAAAGGCTGAGATTTCCCACACGTCTCATGCTGCAAGAAGCTCAAAGGCTGCAGACCGAGCGGCTGGGGAGGAGCTGGCGCAGGGCTCCTCAGTCAGACAGCAGAGCCCGCGGCCCGTTATTCCGAGCTGCAGCGCCACCTAGCGGCTATCACGCGCAGCGGGCAATCCCAGAACGTCCCGAGCTGAAGGCGCTGATCGGGATCACCGAGCTCGCTTCCCGCCACTTGAAAAATAGACCCCGACTGCTGGATTTTAGCAGCTCCGGAGCAGACCCATTCCCCGGCCGCCCCTGACGCAGCTCCGCGCCGTTCCCTCGGGCTCCGCCGCTGTCACAGAGAGCGGACGGCCCGGCGCGCTGAGCCCGGCCCCGCGTGCTTCCAGCTCCTCAGAAGCGCGGGCCCTGAGGATCCCGCCCAGCTCTGAGCGCCGGATGGCTGCGGTGAAGGCCGAGACGAGCCGCGCCCCGCTCCCGCTCCCCGCCACCCCCGAGCCCCGCGGCCCTCACCATCTCCAGCGCGGCCTTCCTCTCGCCGGTGTCCGCCATGCCCGCAGGACTACAACTCCCAGCATGCCCCGCGGTGAACTACAGCTCCCAGTATGCCCCGCGGCGCCGCGCCGGAAGCGCCTCGCAGAGGGCCCGATTGAGGGGCGGAGCGGCGGCGGGCGGTGGGCTTCGTTCCTGCGTTTACTTCCTGCCGCGGCGGCCGGCGTGCCTGAGGGAGGCCCGCTGAGGAGCCCCCGGCCTTGGGGTACGGCCGGTGGGGGCGGGGAGGCGCGTTGGCCGCTCGCTGTGCTCCGGCTGCGAGGGCCCGGCCGTGTGCGGCCCGGAGGCGGCGGCGGCGGCGGTGGGAAGCGGCTGGTAGTGCTGCGCTGCCGGGTCGCGGTGAACTTCGGGGCTTCGGGCAGGGGATGGTGGAGCTGTCAGGGTTGGGTGCCGATGGATGAACGGTTGTTCTTCGGAACTGGGGTCGCAGGGCGGTTTATAGTGCCGTAGCCGTGTGCGGGTGGCCACCTGGCTGCGTGATCTCTGCGGAGAGCTTAGATATCTCGCTGCTTTACCCGTCCTGCACGTCGTGTCCTGTTGCCTTCCGGCAGGTGGGGGTGGGAGAGGAGCGGGGTTAACCTCCCCCAGCGCTGTGTTCGTGCCGATGTGCCGCAAACAAGCTGTGTGCTCCGAGAGGAAGCTGAGCTTCTGCTCAGCACTGCTTGAACTTGGTGCTCCTCGGGCTTCCAATGCCGGCTAAGCTGCTGGGCTCACGGCTGGCATGGCAGTTAAGGAAATAACGTTCAGAAGGCAATGAAGGGTTAAAGGGAAGCTTCAGCTGCTTTCTGCTGAATTCAACGTCTTTAAACGGTCTTTTTTATTGCAGCTTTCAGAATTGCAACACCTACGTTTGTTTCACACTTAAAGCCAGTAGTAACGCCATGATCCTTGTTTTCTGTGCAGAGGATTTCTGGAAATACAAGCAGTAGCTTCCTCCATCCCTCTGAGCGCTGAGGCTGTGAATGCTTTGTTCAAGAAGAAGGGCTAACAGTTCCCCTTGACTGGTAAGGGCAGCATTGCTGAGTGACAGATGAGCACCATTTCTCTCCTTTGACTTCTTAGCCCAACTGTGCTGGCTGCATACAATACTTATTCCACACCTTCTGTGAAGTCAGAGCAACAGACAAATTGTTTTCATCTCACTTGAAAATAATATGTTATCTGCTGTGCTTGGGGGCTTCAGTGCTGAAATGCTAAACGCTGCACTGAAGATTGAAGCTATGTATTTATCATTCTTTAAGATATTGCAGGAATTTCTTACCTTTCTGTCAAATGTCAGGGGAGAAAACTTGTAAGCAGCAGCATGCAGCAACTTGCAGCATGACTTGCAATGCTTCAGTAGACACTGGGATACGAGTGCAACACTCAGGTCACCTTTGTACGTCCTCACTGTCTGCCCAGTGCTTTTGACACAGCCTAAGGAGCTCCTTGGGTATGTGATGTTTTCTGGGTGAGGAATGCAGCCTCCTTCCCCTCTTTCCTATTTTGGAGCCCTTCTTTCCTTAATCCCTGAGTGAGTTTGATTCCTTCCTTTTAGGAAGGTTTAGACTTAGATATTTCCAGCCATCTTTGAGTTAGAAACCAGTTGTTTTCTTTAGGTTATATGAAGGGGCAAAAGGGATTGTGTTCTAATGGATTTGATTCCTGACTCTCCTGTAAGTGATAAGAAAAGCTGTTTTCTGGCTTTGCAATGGATTTTTTTTTTAATAACAAAAGTAATGAATGGTTTCTGTAGAATTGGATGTGACACTGTTTGGAGAGAAAAATATATGCTCACTGCTCATCTGTTTTACTTAAAACATTCTGCTGAAAGCTGAGGAAATATGACTTATGAAGTAGGTGGTGACTGACTCCAGAGTCAGGCAGAGAGCTGTGAATTCAGGGGTTTTGCTTGGTTTTGCAACTGCTCCTTTGTATTCATGCTGTTCATTGAGTGGCTGTGCTGTAAACAGATTTGTTTCTAGATATTTTTTTTTGTCAGTCACCTGATTGCTCAAGAGGCTTAGCTGTGTTTGTTTGTCCCTGGCTGTGACCTGCTGTTCTACCACATACCAGTGCAGTCCTGGTTCTCTTCCTGAACTGGACGAAGTATTGCAGATGTCTGTATGCTGGTGGGTCTCATCTGGCATGGCTGTGTGAACTCCTCTTGTTTCAGCTAATGTTGTTGCAAATCACTGTGCTGCTCTCAAATTGTTTGGATTGTGGTGACCGGCTGTTCCTCATTGGTAGCTGCTGAAGAGATCAGACCCCTGCTGAAGAGTTGTAACGTGTGTAGAAAACGGAATAAAGTGTATTTTGTGTAGTTTGCATCTTCTGGCTAAAGCAGTCAAAGCTAAGGTGTAGGAGAGGGCACCTTTTTAATTTCTTTTTGTCCTGGAAAAATGTTTGTGTTCTTTCTCTGTGGCTCTGTCAGAAGGGAATGAGCTGCTGTTCTTTTAATCAGGAGAAACTAATAGCAGTTGCATGGTAGTTAATCATTTCTTTTTGCAAGACCAGAATCAGCCATGTTGGTGCTCTTGTCTCTGATAAGCATTTAACTGGAGGTATCAAAGTTTAGGCTTTTTCATCCCTGTCCATAAACTCGTTGGGTATGTTTTGTGGCTTGTCCTTTCTTCTGCTTCAGTTTCTTCAGGTGGAGGTGGTGACTCCTGCAAAAAGCTTCTCAAAAGTTACTTATCCCTTTGTGCCTTAGCTCTGAGTTATCCCCCTTTCTATTCAGTCCAAATATTCTTCTCTTACATGAGTAATGGCAAAGCCTTCAGATTTGCAGAGAGAAGACTTGTGATCAGTAATTCACCCAGCTTGGGCTTAGCTGGAAATAGATGAGTCTTGACTTACTGTCACTTTGTGACCCTCTGATTTGTGTGTGTAGCAATGTGCTTCAAGGAGCTGAGAAGCTTTTGGAGGCCAAGGTCAGCAAAATGTTACTGAAATTTGTGGCTACTCATCATCCTCTGTGGGGCTGATTTGCAAGGCTAGCTTAAAGAGAAGATGTCCTGGGCTGCCACCTTCCATCTTTTGTGGCAGGATGTCAGAGATCTCAGTGCTGGCTGTGCCCTCAGGTATTTTGCATTGGTGTTTTTATGTGTTCAGCACTCCCTGGGCTTTTCTAGGTGCATTTTTCTGGAGAGAGGTTTGGGTTTTCTGTACGGGGGCAGCTCTAAAGCACTGTAGGCAAGATGAGATCCAGTAGGCTGGCTCAGTGATGCTGGAAGGAAATACTGTGGTTAGATTTGTAAACAGCTCTGCAAATGACGTGGCTCTCTGCTTGTCATATGATGTGCTTTCCAGTTGATCTTGGTGAAGTAGGGAAGAACTGCATCAGCCTTGCTTTTCTGTACTGCCACAGTCTTCAGGTGGATATTGACACTGATTGATCATAGTAAGCACCATCTATTTCTGCCTTCAAAGGTCATCATCTCCAGAGCTTCTTAGATCCCAAATAATGTGGTGACTTTTTTTCTGTAACGCTGGCAGACTTGATGTTAGAGGATATTTGTAAGCCTGCAAGTGAGGGAGGAAACACAAACCCAGCTGTTTTTTTTTACCTCTGTCTACTGGCATTTTTAAGTCTTTCTATCTTGGAGCAGAGGGTGACCAGTCATGCAAACAGCTGTTTTCACACCCAGTTCTTTCAGCAGCAGTAAAAGGGGACTGCTGGTGTGGGCACCCCTCACCCTCCTCCTTCCTGACAATCATTGCACATCAGCTGGATATAAATCTGGTTTAAATCCCTGAGCTATCTTCAGGTGAGGCTGAGACCTAGGTGAGCGTGATGGGAGGGGAAACAAGTGGGATGTGAGTACTTGGGTGCAGCACAGTGAGGACAAATGAAGTGATCCTGGAAAGAACAGTAGGTAAATGCAACAAGTTGTCTTTGTTCTGAAAATAGGGCTTGCTCTAAGATGGGGTAAATGAGAAGGTAAATGAGAAGCTTGCCATGCAAAGCAGGCCAAGGGGCTTTCCCTGTATCCCTGGTAGAATTGATGTGCTATGTACAAGGGTGCAAATTTCAAGCCAAGAGGAAGTGAAAGGAGGAGATCAACTTGAGAGGGTCTGCAGCCCCTCTGCAGCGCTCTGGTGCTCCAATTGTTGGTCCCTTTTAGTGGTACCTGTTAAGAACAGCATTTGCAAAGACTTCTGTCCGTGTAGTGTGAGCCTTTCTGTGTGTTCTCTCTTCACCTTTATTGACACTACAAACTCTCAGTTTTTCTAGAATGCACTTTGCTGGGTGCCATGCACTGGAACAGCGTTATGGAGGAAGTTTACTGCTCTGCTTCCTGCTTTGTTTGCTTTGCTCTTGTCAGACTAATCCTTTGCTTAGGGTTCCTATAGATGGTGCTGGTTCTGAAATCACTGGTGCTCCCAGGTGATTAAGTTAAAGTCTGCCATAAAATTGAGGAGTATCGTGTCTGAATCAATCCCCAGGTTTATTTTTTTCCTCTCCTGTCTTGAGCTCTTATACCTGCAGCAGGTTACCTGTTGCTGTCCAAGCTGGAATCTGTTAGGAAGCAGAAATGTGAACCCAGTGCAGCAATGATATCTTAACTTCATGATCTTGTTAACATTCCAGTGTTTTTTGATCTGTTTTTTCCCTTATTGCTGTAATCTCTTGTGCTTCAGTGCAAATGAAAGCAGACAGATCTTTAAGTGTAGTCGCTTCCTCCAGTGCCAGATGGGTAGAAAGTTTGACTGCCAGTAGCCTTTCAGCCTGAGCTTCTATCCTGAAGCTAAATCTGTTGTACCTAATTTCTAGAGAAGTCTCTGAGCTATTTGCTTGCAGTGAACTTGGTGTGTGATTTTTTCTAGCCAGAATACAGAAGTTTCTATGCACAACACAAATCAGGCAATATCAGGGTAATTAGATGCAAAGGGGAGAATTAGGTGGTTTTCTTCTTTTTCTTGGTAGGGTCAAAGGTCTTCTCTAAGCAGAAAAGAGGCTTATGGATGTCCTGAATCAACCAAGCAGATGTCACAGCTGTGGTGTGACGTGGTTTCACATGTTCAATCTTAGGCCTGTCATTAGATTAATGTGATGATACTTGAGCTGGTTAAGTGTCCTCCTTTATGTGATTGTCCTCTGACTTCACAGAAGTCTGGCTCTCAAACACTTGCATCTTGTAATCTATATGGTTTGATATATATATATGCAAGAACGTTGGCTTGGAGAAAGATTGTTACTGTAGATAATCAGTCTGCAAATGTTGCACCCTCACTTTGAGATCTGCAGATCATGTGCTCTTATAGAAGTCTTAGTGCATCAGTGAATGTCTCCAGGCTGGAAAAAGTGGACATGCGTGGTCCTAATCCAGCAGCAGCTTTTCTGTTTGAGTTTGAAAGCAATCAAGTCTAAGGTACTACAATGAACTGAAGTCATCTGACAGAGACAGTGGGCTTGATCTTTTGAGGAGCTGCTCTTTACATAACTGCAAGACAGTTGTTTCCTTTCTGAAGTGTGTAGCTTGCTGGCTGCTGGCAGCCTTTTTGAGAAGCAAGAAAAACCTGGTGGGTTAATTGAAAACAAAATAAAACAAAAAAGCTAGAAATCTGGCTGGAAACAACATAGGTAAAACTCATTATGGGGTCACTGACTGGAGGACAGTGTGCAGGAGCAGTTTAAAGCAAGCAAACCAACTCTTCTAGAGGTGATTGTGGTCTTACAGATATTCTGAACAGAACCTGAAGGGGGGGGGAAGAGGAAAGCTTTCTAAATAGCAATATATTGGCAAAGTATTGATTACATTATGCTTCCTTCCAATTATACTGAGGGCTGAGAAGCTATTACTGAGACTACAGTGGTTTTTTTTCTGTCAAATAACACAAACCTAATTCTTACGGTGTTTTTATTTCCAGATAGCTGAAGCCATGGCTATTCTTTTTGCTGTTGTGGCGAGGGGCACAACCATCCTTGCCAAGCATGCCTGGTGTGGAGGAAACTTCCTGGAGGTGACAGAGCAGATCCTGGCAAAGATACCTTCTGAAAACAACAAACTGACCTATTCACATGGGAAGTGAGTGATGTTTCCCATCTGGGTATCAGAGCAGACTAGCTAACATGCATGAGGACAGCAGTAAATGGATGTAGCAAAGTTCAGTTGTTCTCAGATCAGTTGTGCATCCTGATTGCTTGATGATAAGTCTTACAGGCAGTATCTTTTAGAGTCATCCTGAAGTACCACAACTGCAGTTGCTGGGAGAGAAGGCTTCTGCAAATCTCTGACCAGTCCTCAGGTAGCAGTTGGCAGAAAAGAGCATTTGAATGCAATATCTCCTGGCACTGTGCTGCTTCTTCATTGCATACGTGGAGTACAAAAGTTAATGTGCTGTAAATTAACAATAGAACTGCAGAGAACACTGATTTAGCAGTGTTCTGTGTTACTCAGTTCTCTTTTGAGTGGCTGGATTCTCAGTGTTGTCCATGCTGTTGTGTTAAAGCCATTTTGGCTGCCTGAAGATTCAAAAGATAACAATTTAGGCAGTCTTCCTGTGTCCTTCCCTGCCTTGCAAGTATTAAGAGACCCTGGGGAAGAGCTTTCAGAGGAAGCTGCCTGTCCTTTAAGTACTTTGTGTGCTGAATATCTTCTACTGTAACTTTAAGGGCAAAGTCATTTCCTTTTGTTTTGCTTTTGCCTTGAGTGTTGTTCAACCATTTACAAAATTGAGCTGCAGGAATGCCACAGTGTTCTTACAGTTGAAAACTTGAATTGTGATAGAGGTTCACTGTTCTTTGGTGGGAGGTAATTAATCACTGCATCTGTGCTTACAAAGCATGCTGTGAAGTGGATAATCTTTTGCTCACTACTTAAGACTTCATGAGGATTCAACATTGTAATGCTATAATGTGATGGAAAGTATAGCAATAATAGGGGGGTGGCAAAGTCTGTGGTTGCAGCAAGTGAGAACAAGCCTGAATGCAGCAGCTCTAGACATAGAAACAAAGGAAGGAAACTTGCTGACCCTTGGAAGAGCTCAGATAGGCAGGGATCTTGAGGAAGATACCATTACTTCCATTGCCAGCCCTTAAATGAAGTCTGGGAAGGGGTGGATCCTGGCTCCACCCTGTCCTGTCATTCAGGTACACTGCATGCACCTGAGCTCCCCTGGGTTGGCCCTGCCTTCCCACCAGGTGCTCAATCACTGCTTCAAGCTGTGACTCTGCATTTCTGCTACAAGCACACTGCAGAAGAGCACTCTGGGCACTGCGCCTATCAGTGTCTCCTCTGCTAAAGTCCCTTCTAACAAGCTTTCTGTTGACATTGTTTTTCATATGCATTTGAAGAACAGCCTCTTCATTCAGAATCTGTCATTGTTTTGTTTTTAAGAACTTCTGGGCCTTTGTATAATCAAAGAATATTAGGATGTTATAATCACAAAATAAACAAGAGAGTTAGGCAAAGCAGACTATGACAACAAAAGAGAATAAATAGAAAGCTTACCTCTATCCTGGGCTCACTCACAAAACTCCAGCAGAGATCCTTCCCCACTGGTAGCCAGCTCTTAAATAGGACTACGAGGGGTGCAGCCAGGCTCCACCCCTTCTAGCAGCACAGTGAATTGCCTTCACCTGTGCTCCTCTGGCTGGCTCATGGCTCGCCTCAGGTGATCAATCAGAGGTTCAGGCCATGACTGAGCAGTTCCCATACAATGCATTACAGTGATTTTATTGTAGAATCTGTAAAAGAGGTCTAAATGGTGGTGGGGAGTAGATAGCATCACTTAAAAATTAAAAAAAAAAAGACAGCTAAAGCCAGTGAGCCATCTGCTCCCATTGGTTCTGGGTTGGATTTAATGCTCTATGAGCTAAGTTGATGGGATGTTGTTTTTTCGTGTGGGCCTGGAAATAACAGCCTGGTTTCACTTTGAGAGGAAGATACGGCTCTGAACTGGTTTGCACTGTCTTTCAAGTTACTGAGAGTTGCATTTAACAAGCATCTGTTTACTCAGCATCTCTCAAAGCATCTTTATGTGAATAAGAGAATGCAACCACATGCTTCAAGCCTGTTTAGCCTGATAGTTGTTCTCTTAAGTTCATTTTCTTATTTGGCTGCTTTTGTTCTGTGGTCTTTGCAATAAAAACCCAAAGCAGTGCAACATGGCTAAAGAAGCAAGTCACTGTACCAGTGAGGTTCACTGAAGCATTAACTTCCTTGTCACTCCAATCAACTGCAGATAATCTCACAAGTTCACTGTGTGTGGGTGCTTGTATGCAGACAGCCGGACTAGATATAATCTTACCCCATTTATCATGTCAAGGTGTTTTTTTTCCCCACAAGTAAGTAACTGGAAGAACATGGAACTGAAGTTTGACAGCACAAAGTTGCTGTGAAGTGTGGGGTGCTGCCAAGTGCATGATGGCAGCTGTTACTTACGTGTAAGTTGTCTCTTATTTAGTGTAGCTGATAGAAGATAAATGCTTGACATCTGACAAAGATAACTGGGGTGTGTTGGCATCTGTGTGAATTGCTGTAGGGTAACTGGAATTTGCTCTTCTTTTTTCCAGCCCCTAAATTCACCACAGACACCAGCATCTTCTCCATCATCTCTCTTCTCCTGGCAGAGAATATCTTGTGGCAGCTTTTAATGACTTAGTTTTTTTTCCCCCCTCTTTGCAGTTATCTGTTTCATTACATCTGCCAAGATAGGATTATATACCTCTGCATCACAGATGATGTAAGTATTTTGGTTACAGCTCTTGCACACGCAGGCTATTTATGAGTTTTAGCTTTTTCATATATATGTCAATGAGAAATCAATAATGGGTACTAATTGCAGATGGGTTTTTTTCCACTGGAGCTTTTAACTGATGGTGGTGAGAACACGGCTCTGAAGCCTAAGCCTGAAACTCAAATGCATGTGAATAAAGTACCTCTGAGGTTCAGTTCTTATTTAAAGCAAAATCATCTCCCTCACAGGAAAAGATATTAGAAACAAAATTAGATCTACATAAACTTCAGTAGCATCTGCTTCCAGCTGATGTCCAGGAAGGTGTCTGGAGTCTGGCTGCTGCTAAAAACCCAGGGTAACCAGCCAAGTCCTGTAGAGTTTTGCACAGCATGCCTGTCTGAAAGTGGGTATTTGTGGGTTTTGAACTGGCTGTGTGCTGTGTACACTTCATGCCCACATCCAGAGCTGGATGTGGTCTGGATGTGGTCTGTTCGTTCTCTCCTAGGACTTTGAACGTTCCAGAGCCTTCAACTTCCTGAATGAAATCAAGAAGAGGTTTCAGACCACGTATGGCTCAAGAGCACAGACAGCCCTTCCCTATGCAATGAACAGCGAGTTCTCGAGTGTCTTAGCTGCACAGCTGGTGAGTTCTGTTGCTAAATGGGATTGAATGGGATTGCTTTGGCAAGTTAAACGTCTCCCCACGGGGTCTTTGTATATTTTTTCATTTGTACCTAAAGTACCACACTGAGTTTGTATATGAATGCAGAGGACTTTACTGCTTTCCCTGCGTGTTCTCTACAGCTGAGTTGCTTTTCTGCTTCTGTGATGAAAAGGGGCTGAGGTTAATAGTGATGTATTCATTATTTGCACCGCATAGCTGAACTTGAGATGAGATCTTAAAGATAGCATTTGAAATATCAAAGCTAGCTGCAGTTGGCTTTCCATTCCAAGATAACTTCACTGTTGTTGTGAGCAAGATAAATGCATGCTACTTTTTCAATTGAACGAGGCTTCAAAATTTGAGTATGTAGTAATTCCAAACTGCCTCTTGCTTCTCTCCCTCTTACTTCATGGTAATCCATGGCTGCTGGGGTGTGGTGGGGTGTTTGTTTATGGCACTGTTCCATTTTCATGGGGCAAGAATACTGGGCCTGGATTATGGGCAGGTTCTGTGTACAGAATCACTTGGGTGGATGCAGAAAGGACTTCATTCCCAAGATAGCAACTTAGAAAAAGAGGATAGAGTGTTCAGAGTCTTCTGCTTAAAATTCATCACATTTTTTTAGAGTTCTTAATTGACAACAATTTTTAACTCAAGCTATGCTATTTTTTGAGACATGCCTTAAACTAAAAGGAAGATGTCCTTGGAACCTTGGTTTTCAGAGCTTGTTTGCAGGCTGTATCTGGGACAGCTACAGCTGGCACTGTGTGCAAGATGTGTAGGAGGCTCTCAGTCTGCTTTGTTGTGGCTGGTGAGTGTGTAAGCACTGAGGCTGCTGCCCTCAAAGCTTTCCTTTTTCATCTACTAAAAATGCCAGGTTTGGAGACATTCTGGATGCAGGAGAGGAGGTCCTTTGGTCACCTGGCAGCACAACCAGAGTAAGGGCAGAAACGAAGCAAGCTTCTAACACTCACCAGCAGTAACAGTTGTGTTTTGGGGTGCAGGTTGTATCTGGGGGAAGGTGAGGGGAGGATGTGCACTTGTGCTGTTGCTTCCTGAAGGTTGTGCTGGATGTTGTGAAAGGAATCAGTTGTGCTGGTATCCTCAGGGATGAACGGAGATGATTCATAGCTTGTGAAGTTGCACATCCTTCACTGCAAAATCTGTTCTTCAACTTATGCAGCAGCATAAGTTGAAGCAGCAATGAATAATAAAGCCAGCATGTCTTCAGAAGAGCCCAATGGATTGTGCATTATAAATTAGATTCAGTCCTATCACAGATAGGAAGTTAGCTTTTTCCTCTACCAACCCTTGATGTGTGGAGATCGAAACTACACAAAGTGATGATTCATCAGAATGTAAGCAGTTTTTGGCTGCAATCAGCTTAATGCTCTGCCTTATCAGAAGAGCCAGGCGGTGTTCAGGGCCATGGTGGTGTTATTCCTCTGAAAATCCCAGCATTTCCATTTCTCTAAAGCATGAAGTAGAGCTGCTTACCTTAGTTTTGCATATTGATGAAATCCAGGCATCTACTAATTCTTATTACAAGTTAAATGATGGCAGAAAGCTGTTCCCCCAGCTTCCAAAGATTAGAGCCCCAATGATCTAATGCTTCGTGTAGTGGGAGAACAGGACTGCTATCAAGGTGGTTGCAGAAGTTACTGCAGGAGTTTAACTGGTGTGATGCTGAGTGTAGAGATCATACAACAGTTCAGAGATTGTGCTGTGACTCGAGCATATCACACAGATAACATTGAAAAGGAAGGCCATGCTTCCAGTAAAACCAGTGACAGCTCAGGTAGAGTGCCACTTCTGCAACTTCTCCTGAAACCAAACTTGTTTGCTTTTCATTTTTTAAAGGATCTGTTACTTTCAGTGCTATATCCATCAACTATGACATGAGTGTGTGAATGCTGTTAGAGCAGTAGGCTTTTGCTTCCCATGTGGTCAGAAATGGATGCAAAGTGGACACTCATTCAGGAGAAGACTGGGGTTTAAGAAGCCATGTGGGTTGTCACAAAGTACAGCAGAGACAATCTAGTCCTGGCCACTGCTGTCAGCAGGTCTGTTTAGATGGTTTCTTCTTAGGAGGTGCTTTGTGAAGCCCTCAGATACAAGTGGTGGCTGTAAGTTTAGAGCAGGACAAAAGTTCATCCATGAGTTTTGTGAGAGAGACTTGTTCCGTGGGGGAGGTGATCTAGGAAGCAGGACAGTAGGAGCTGTGGCTGGTGATGCTTGACTGCAGAGGACCTCTGAGGACAGCAGACTTAGTCTCAGAATAGCAGAACTTACTTAGACAATACTGACTTCACCTCAATTCCCTTCCTTTTATTCTGAAACCATTGCGAGACTCCTTTTAACCTGGGGATGTTGGTTAGCACTTCTCCCACCTACCAGCCTGAGTCAGATAGTCACCACACGTTCACTTGTGGTCCCAAAAGCTGCTTATGTCTGCTTTACAGGAACAGCAATTAGGCAGCTCTGACCATCTTAAACACCTCATGTGGTTCTTCCATTTTGCAGTCCCTCTTCACCCTAGCTGGAGCTCCTGCTTGATGCTCACTTACAGATGCAGATGCATTCTCTCCTGCTTGTGTAATTGCAGGGCTCTTTATGTTTTATAGAGGAGTAGAGAGGATTGTGTAAAATTGTGATCTATTACAAAGACAACAGAAGGATGTCTGGGAGTGGGAGCAGTGTGTTAACTTGCTACAAATGTGATCTAACTTCCTAAAGAGGCTGATACTCCTGGGCTCTCTGGAAGTTGCAGGCACTTGTTTGCTGCATAGCTGCTGCAGTGCAGGAGTAGATGGGCACCTCGTGTGACCTTGTAAGGGGCTGACAAGTTGGATTTGGGTGTCCCACACAGTTGTAGATGTCTGAGGTAAATTGGAATCTCAAATGTGTGCCCTCTGCCCTGCACAGTAAGGAACAGATTTCCTTTTTGTGTGAAGTGCTATGTTGAGGATCCTTGTTTTCACTGACTGTTCATCTGTTACAGAAATACCACTCGGAGAGCAAGGGCACTGACCAGGTAGCAGAGACACAAGCCCAAGTTGATGAACTTAAAGGAATCATGGTTCGAAACATAGGTATCTGGCTTGTTCTTGTGCCAAGCATGCAGCATTCCGCCCAGCCAGAATGGTGATCCTGCAGGGAGTTACTGAGAGTGGAACTGGTGGTGGGCTGTCCTCTCCTGATGGAACCAGCAGTGGTTAAAGGGGCTGGGGAGCTCTGAGTTTGCAGTCCATTACTTGTGTTGGACGTGGTGAGAGCACAGCTTGGTGCAAACTTGCACAGCTTGCACTGAGGTGCAGTGTGCTCTGGGTTTTGTCCCTGTCACTGCTGCCTTCCTGCAGCTGCTATGAGGAAAATGCTTCTCAGCATTTTGTCCAGTTGAACTTTGGTTTGGGACAAATCTGACCACTTAAAATAAAGAGCTAGATCTGGAACTGACCAGAATTGAGTGGATTTAGTCCCAAAATGTGATATTGCTCCTTAAGTGCCACTGCTTTGAAATCTCAGAAAGGCTGGGGGCTATTTATCCTCTCAGAAACCACTGCCAGGAGCTCCTCCTGGCTTCCAGCTGAGCTTTGGGTATTAGAAGCAGCTTTTTGCACTGGGGTTCTACTTACAGATTGGGATTTTTCTCTTTCTCCAGACCTCGTGGCACAGAGAGGAGAGAAGCTGGAGTTGCTGATCGATAAAACAGAGAATCTCGTGGATTCTGTAAGTTTGGGGAAGAACTTTAAAATGGGGAATTAGTGGTCCTGCAGCTGTTGTGCTCATGTAAGAAAAAGCCCCTTTTCAACAGACATTAAAGCACCTTAAAGTAACGTTTTCTTGTGTTAGAAACAAATCCTGTCTTATTTCCTTCCTCTGTATGGCTGTTTAACCAGCTACGTGCCAGCCTTGCAGCTCCTTAACAGGATGAAGGGGTAAAGTAAGTGAGAAATTACAAGTCATCACATTGAAAGTAACTATAAAGCATGTGTCAGTCCAGTGGCCTACATATAGCTTGGAAGTTTTCCTGACTATTCCCTGGAAATCCCTGATTCAGCATCTTCTGCAGGGTCCTAGCTTGGGGCCTAATTCCTTTGGTGCCCTCAGATGCAGTCCTCAACCCTACAGATTGCCAGTGTGGCGTGATGGGACTGATGGATATGAATACATCTCAGAGCTGGCAACAATAATGTCATGCTTTAGAGATGAGCTGGGGGTGCTAGCAGTTACCCAGCTGGGAATGCTGTCCTCCTGCACTGAGTGTTTGAACCTTACTGCTTCAGGTGGTGGCAGTAAGTAGTCTAAGCTCAGGTAATGCCTTAGACAAAAGGACTGGAATTCCTTCTTCAGTTAGTCTGAAGTCACTTGTGCTCACTGTGAATACTTGTTGGAAACAAGGCAGAGAATGAATGAATGGAATGTGGTGCTAGTTTGAGTGTCCTACAGTTCAGTGGTGAGTCCTCAGAAATTCAGAGTTGAAGAGCAGTGAACCAATTTATCACTCCCACAAGAGTCTTTACTACCAGAGTGGTGTGCCTAAAGATCCTTCCCAGCAGCAGCAAGGTCTTCCTTTTGGCAGGGAGGTCTGAAGAAGCCAGTGCTCAAAGCAGTCCTGTCCTCTGGAGAACTGCTCTGGGCTGAGATGAGGTGTGTTGCTGCAGTGTCTGCGCCAGGACTGTTGTCAGTAGCCAGTAATCTGTTTCCATACCTAGAAACTGCACTGTTAAGTGAGAGAAGTGTTTCCAAAGTTCAGATGGTAACTTAACATGGAAATCAGTGTTGAGTTGAAATTACGTTAATAGGGATGCAGCTCTGCTTGATGTCTCACTTGAGAAGTCTGGGAGGTGTGGAGAAAGCCTGAAAATAACCAGCAGAGTGAGCTGCTGAGGTGGCTCAGTCTGGATGCTGCAGCCTTTTTCTGTGCAGGTATCTCTGCAAGAGCTGCTCAGGGAAAGTGACGGGGGTGAAGTTCTGGTATTGAAGGAGTTGTGTGGCTGGAGTAGAACTGATGCTGAGTGTAGGAATAAAGATCAATAATTACTTACATATTTGTGGAGTACTTCAGCTCCCCAAAGCTTGCAAGTCAAAGGAGAACACAACCAGAGGTAGTCCAAGGTAAACTAAACCTTGTGAGCAGCCAACAGACCTGATGATGTCCTATGCCCAATTTTTCTCAAGCTGACTTCTGGAAGGTACAAACCCAAGCTGGTTCTAGATTCAGTATTACTTCTGTTGTTTGGGTTTCATTTATCTTGCCCTTAAAGTATCATAGGAGATAACTTTCCCTTGATGCCAGTTTGGCTTTGCATTATTGTAACTGCAGGAGTTAAATGGATCTGGAGGAGATAACTGCAGAGGTTTGGCTCGTTAGGTTAGTAGGGTGGTATGGGGATGTGCCTCTTCATCTGGCTGCTTGGGATGCAGCTTTCTCTGCAGTAGATCATGCAATAAAACAGCTGTTTTACTTTCTCTTCTAGTCAGTCACTTTCAAAACTACCAGCAGGAACCTTGCTAGAGCCATGTGTATGAAGAACCTCAAGCTTACCATCATCATAATCATTGTATCAATTGTAAGTATGGAGCATAATAACCTTTAGCTCTTAAGACAAGCTTAGCTACTGGAAAATGCTAATAGTGTACTGCTGTCATCAGACCTGCACTAATTCATACTTGGTATGGTCTTAGCACTAAAACAAGTGTTTTTAAGGTTTTCTGAGATATGGAGAGAGGAGCATTGTGCCAGGCAGTTTTTCTTGTCAAGGTGATTGAAGATGTTTTCTTGACAACTCTGTCTAGCTTACAGATGCTTGCTGCAGTAATAAGTGCCTTGCTGACTCCTTAAAAGTTAAGGCATTGAGCTCATGGCTCCTCTACCTGTATTGGCTTTCTAGGCCTTATTCCTTTTGGTACTCATTACTTAGCTTGGAATAGCATACCTCCAGCCTCTAATGAATGTGAACAGCACTACCGTGAGGATGCTGAAGTATAATTTCAGGTTGGGTGTGTGAAGTACTTTGTCACCTCTGGAAACCTTTGCTGGAGGAAAATTCTCTTCCTGTTGCTGGATGGACATGGAGAAAGAAGTCTTGGTGCAAAGTTCTGCAGGACGTTTGACAAGTTATTTTAGGGTGCTTGTAACCTGGGGTTTTCAGACTTGTCTTTTGATACCAGGCCATGTCACAAATTGACTTCTGAAGGACAGAATTCTCACTGAAATCTTTTGTTTTCTTTCCCAGGTTATCATCTATATCATCGTATCGGCTGCCTGCGGTGGGCTTGCGTGGCCAAGCTGTGTGCAGAAGTAACCAGAGACAGCTGGTGCTGGTCAGTTGGAGATGAGAATCACAGCAGTGTGAAGAAGCGACCTACAGAATAACTCTTAATCTTTCACTACTGACACCTTCTCATTCTTCATCCCTCCAGGACTTCAGACTTTCTGCCTTATCACCCTGAACATGCCCAGCCGGTTGCTGCTTCCATGCAGCTGTAACCTCAAGAATGGGCTGGTTTAAATTACTTGAAGGGATTTTTTCTTTTCTGTCCCACCTGCAACCTTCTCAGCTAGCTGGTACTGCCAGCTCTGGAGGGTACAGCATGCTTGTCCGTGTGTCCATGCAGCTTTGCACTTTCATGTGAGCCTGCAAGTGGAGAACAGCTCTGCTAGCAACTGTCCTACCCACGAGGATGACACTGGAGGATAGTTTGAGGTGGGCTGAGCCAAGCTAATGGGGGAGCCACAAGATGGGTGTATTTCCATTTTCCACAGACCACAGAGATCAGGTGCCCCTCCCTGCACATCTGGCCTCTCATAGTGGCTCAACGTGTAGGGGTTGCAAGTGCAATATTGGTAGTAGCAAAAAGAATGGCTTTGGGGCTGGGGCTTTACGCACTGTAAGATGTAGGTGTTGCTTCTGTATGAAATCTCCCTTTTCCTGGTGGTCTTTCAGCAGTTGGTAGCAGGGTGATAGGTCACCTCAGCATTTTGAAATGGCCTCCTCTTGACCATCATTTCTTTCTCCTTCCTCCCCTTTAATTTGTGGCTAAAATAATATAGTAAAGGAGATGGTTCTGTATAGTTAAGGTTGCAGTAATGCATATTCTTTGTCATGTTATTTCTCCTGTTCTTCTGAGGTGGACTAAAATGAATACTAACATTACCACTTGCTGAAGTGAAAAATGGGAGCCGATCGAGGCTGATGTATTAATCAGGCTTGATAAGGTGCCATATATTGGCTGCTTGTGCTTTTACTCTGAAGGTTTGTGCTAAAATGACAGAGAAGGACAGAAGGTTGAAGTTAAATGGATTGTTCCTTTCTCTGAAGCAGAAAAGGTCTTTCAGATGTAATAACAGCTACTCACACTGGGGGGAAAAAGAAATAACACAAAAGAAACCCACCAAAACTCAAGGCTTACTACCAACTGTAGGATTGGGTGCTCTGGTAATGTGCTGCTATCAAGTGTGTATCTATGGGGGCTACTTTGCCTGGTGCTGGAAGCTGTGATTACCACGTTTCTGTCCCACCCTTGGGAAGGCGCTGCACAGCAAACGTGTAGGGCAGCACAGTGGCTGCAAGTGCCAGCAGACAGCTGAACAGGGAACAACTGAAATCTGGTGCAAGTATCAGATGGTCTGATAAGGAAGCTGCACTGCTTTGGTCTGGGTAAGTGACTTCTAACAGTGAGTGAGAGCCGTGCATGTACAGGAAAGTGAGGCTCCATCTGGTGACTGAACTCCAGCACTTGGTGCCGTGGGTTCCCTGAGCCCTGCAACACAGGCTTCCCAGGCAGGGCGGTGACATTCAGTGGCTGCTGCTTCATGTGACTCCCCTGGTGTGTGACACTTTCCAGCAGGTGCCAGATAAAGCTTTCCTATCAACTTGCATGGTTATTTGGATGTGACTTCGAGGCTAAAACTTAACTAATGGTAATCAAACCTTGATAGCCAGAAAGGGCCAACAGATTAACAGTATGGCCTGTTTGTACCCTGCATTAACACACTGCAAAGCAGAGAAAGACTTTGTCTTACCTGGAAGTAGATGGGAAGGAGAGCCCTTCCTCTCCTACTTACCCTTACAACCACCCACAGCTCAGTGTACAGTTGTGCATGTTTTAGGGACTGTTGATGTTACTGTGTTAATTTCTATGATTTGTTGTCTTATGTACAAACACTTTTTAAAGACTTCCTCTCCTTTTAAAGGATGCACTGAGGCATTAGTGTAAAAACAAAGTTAACCTGGTTAAATAAAATTACTGTACAGAAAGGAGCTGTGCTTAGCTGTGTGAAAGGCTGTCTGGCACTGGATGGAGGAGCTGTTTGGAAACCAGTGTGCAGCTGGGGTGTGGGTTTCCCTGTGCACTGCTGCAGCTTCCAGCTTTGTGTCGCCCTCTGTGGCCGCTTGAGAAAGCATGTGGGAAAATGCTGCTGTGCCACAGCTCCTGCAAAGGCTGTGTGTTACCTCTCAGCTTTGAGAGGATTCTGACTTAGCTTTGATGCCTACCATGACTTGACAGTGGCTTTATGTATGGTGAGGGGAAGAATCTGTTTTTCCTTGGTTTTAGCTCACAGTATCTGTGAGTTCCTAGGACAAGGGAGATGCTAAAAGATGCGTGGGATGAGATGCCTGCTTGCTCAGTTCACGTGCAAGGCTGGAGGGAACATAAGAGGAAGCGATGAGAAGGCAGTGGTGATGTTATTTGGAAGCTACATTAAAATCTGTCTGAGAAATTGTTTTAAGGCAATTTTCAGTGACTTTGAGATGAAATCCCATTATCCTGAGCACAGTCTGTCTTTTCTCTAGTCATGGTGGGGAAGATCCTACCTTCCTGGAACAGTTCCCTGTGCTGTGCCAGGCTGATTCGCTGCAGCAGCTGCTAAGCTCACTGTCTTGCTCTTCAGCTTCTGTGTTTAAAAATAAAAGTTTTACAGAGTTTAGTAGCTTTTCATCCATCTCAGGAATGTTAAATAGGTGCTGTAGTGTTAGGTGTTGGATGTAGGCTCATGTATCAGCATGAGGAAGTTAGATTTCCTTGCAGAAATTGTTCAAGTTCAGTGAATAGTTACCGTGGTTAGAGGCAAAGAAACACTGCATCTTAACGATGTCTGCGAGGGCTTGGAGACAATGCAGAATATTAAAGTCTGAAGGAAATCACCCGATCTGAGAATGTCCAAAGGAACGAAGGGATTTATCCTGAATTAACCTCATCAGTTTGGTAGCACTTACAGAGCTGAGTATTCTGTGCAGCACTTCTGATTTATGGACCAAAAGCAGAGGGCTGTCCTTCCTCAGAAGAGAGCCATCCTCAAGTGCTTGTCAGTATCAGGCTATATTCAAAACGCCCATGACTTTGAGCAGAAGCTCATCTCACAACGAGACCCTGCTTAACTTTCTGGCTTGCTTCTGTGTTAGCCTCAGGTCTGTGTAGAAATGCCTACAGCAGCAGTTTGTTGCGTACATCTCATAGAAACAATATCACATGCCTGGTAAGATTTAACTAGGATATAATGTTGAAATATTTAAACACTTTGACTTCTTCAGAAAGCTTTACTTTTCCTCAAGTATCTGACTGAATAGTAGCAGCTGTCTCAATTTCAGAGACTGCAGAAAAGTGTCCTGCATGGAAAATGCAGACATGTTCCTACCTTTGGTGTACAGACCATAATAAAACCCTCCAACAATAGAAAAGTCTAACTGAAATGGTGCTAGTCTCTTATTTACTGTGCCAGCGCACAGAAAGGCGAGCTCAGTACAGTGAGTTTCCATCTCTTCCACCAGGCAGAAGTGTTTAAGAACCTTCAGGGCTTTAGCATGGAGCAGGGAGAAGCCTCTTTGTCTGCTAATGGTCATCTCAGGCACTTCAACAGGTGACAGGGAGGGAAGTTGGGAGAAGGAGCAGAACTCAGTCACATCTGTCTGTCTTCTCATGTTATGAGCAGTTACCTGAGTCTTCCTTTTTGTCCTTTCACTGGCTGGAATTGGTTTCAAGACTTACAGGGTATCTTTTTTTTTTTTTCCTTCCCCCAGGGTTTAGCAGTTGTTCTAAAGTGGAGGGGGGTTGTTTCAGCTTCAGGGGAATTATGGTACTCAGCTAATAGTGTAACAAAAAGAACTGTTGTTACTTGAGTTCTCATTAGCTTGCAGGTATCCCTTTCAAGAGGTAATAACTGTGGTCCCAACGTTTACACACCTGCCAAAGGCTGCTCCTGTGTAACTCTTCTCTCATCCCCTTACACAAAAAAGTCAGCTTATAGTGCAGTCAGTTCTGTGCCAGCATTATCTTCCAGGTGCACTAACTGTTCAGTAGTGGAACACATACATGAGACTAGTCTGGAGCTCATGAATTTAATACAACGATCTTTTTTAAAGCAAACACTGCAAAGAGGTCACTGCAAAGCCTAAATGGCTTCCAAGTTGCAAGTATTGCCTCACATACTTTATTTTGCTGAGGCCCCTTCTATAGAAGACATGAACTGAATGCTGTGACTTGTTTTCCTTTGGTAAAACTACCTCATTCTTATGAAATCCAAGGAGCTGAAAGATAAATAGCAATACTTACATCACAAAGCTCTGCCTATGTAAGCAGGTCTCCAGTGGAAGTCTCTTGATGGAGGTGAAAGACTGAAGGAGACTTCTGCAGCCTCGTTCCTAGCACAAAAACACTCAGAGAGGCTCACTGTTTGAGTAAGGCAGATCTATTTCAGCACCATAACATTTTATTAAACTACACTATCAAAATCACATTGATGGCAGGGAGAATGTTGCTATCAGTGCATATTTTGTGTACTAAGACAGGAGTCAGAGCCTGCAGCACTTGCTGAGGAAAAGGATGTTGAAACAGAATGCTTCATAGCCAAAGAGACGGTAGAAAAACTCTTCTACAAAAAGGAGGGCAGTTAGGGGCCAGCTGAAAGACCTAAGGGCAACGCTTCAAGTCAAATCAGTCAGGGGAGCTACCTTTTAAAGAGTTTACCTGTTACTGGTGTTTGTTAGCTTCCTCTCAGATATGAAGATGGTGACAAACAGCAGTTTCCAAAGAGCATCCCCTGTCCCTGCAACTGGCTGCTTGCAAACCCACACAAATATTGTGTACTGCTCCTTCACTTGTGAACTGTGATGCACACGCTTGAATACAACAGCTCAAAGTAGACTACAGTTATAAAAACCTGCTTTGTCTCCTAGAACACACAATAAAAATTAGCAGAAATACATACTATACAGAAGTTAAAAAAAAAAAGTTGTTTCAAACAAATATTAGAGTACACCAGGTTGAAGTTAAAAAGTCTTACTTCTAACACCTATACAGCTATTTCTAGTCTCCCCCTGCCACTGCTGTGAAACATGCCCTAGCAGCTGCTGAAAGCTGCTGTGTGGCCCAAGCAGGACACCTGGCAGCCTTGTTATGGCAAGCATCCTGAGGAGCAGGTCCTAAGAAGTTGTTTTTTGTGACAGGCCTTCCGAAGGGCTGCAATTAGAGGTTACTATGAAATAAGGCTCTTTTCAGTCCTCGTATGAAGACTCATTTCAGCAATGTGTTTGGAGCACAGTACCGCTCAGAGGACAGGCTTGTGCCAGAGTGCTGGAAGGCAAGGATAGTTTGCATTCAAGAGGAGAGGAGCTCTATATACACCAGTCCCAATGCCATGGGTCTCTCAAATAGAATATTGTTTTAAAATAACGTTCTCAAGCCCAGCCAGCTGGGGTTCTGCTTCACAGAGGTGTTTGGCAGTGCATCGGCGTTTTGGGTTGTGTCAGTAACACCCTTCCTTCCAGGAATCGTCCACAGTGCTTGGCGTGGTTTTTGCTGATTGAAGAAATCTGGTTTGGGAGACAAAGAATCACTCAGAGCTACAAGAAACAACGTTTCCATTGATTGCACAGGAATGTGTTTGAGGCTTCAGCTTACACTGGGCTTTTGCAGCAGCTGCCTTAGGACAACATCAGCACCTGCCCGCCTCAGGTAAAATGCAGCAGCCTCTCCCCTCAGATCTGCAGCTACTTCAGCAGTGACACATTTAACCTGCTGTGCTACATTATGAACACTATTGTGAGTTTTTTTCTCATGCCAGAGTCAGAATAAATACATTTTTCTGGCAAGAGTGTCTAAATACATGAAATAGCATCAGGCTGTACGCAGAGTACTGCTACAAGTTCAGCACTTACTGTGTTTTGTTTTAAAGTAGATACAGTATGGGTTAACTTGAGGCTAGAAAGGGACATCTACACATCAGGAAGTCACGATGCAATATTGCTTATCAATCTGAATCATAGATCACCAAGGTTGGAAAAGACCTACAAGATCATCCAGTCCAACCATCTGATGTAGAATCAGCTTAATTTCCCATTAAACGTTTACATTAAAACTGCACTGCAAATAGCTGTAAAAAGAAAAAGTAGCTTTTGGCAATTTGGTAGGGGATTTGCCATACGTGGGAGTACAGCAGATGGCTGGGGATGATGGAATAAGAGAACACTTAGCTCTAATGGCACAAAGCACTCCATGCATATAGTTGGTACAACCATTTTAAAGGCTGCTTTATTCCTTAAAGAGTTTACGCTCTGACTAAGGAGCAGTTGCTTTAGACTATCTACAGACTTCAGATATCCACTGTTTAGTTTTATGATTGGATACTTAAATATTTAAAGAGTTAGGAATAATTGTTCAAAACAATCCGATTGCACCACACTGAGTTAAAATACAGCCTCTCAATCAGTTCCTTGTGCAACAAGGACACAAATTACGGGTCAGGGATACTTTGGGTTCTGCTTTCAACCTTTTGAAAAGGGTATGAAGTTATTTTAATGACACAGGACAAATAACCAAGGTTTGTCCTAAGTATGTGTCTATTATACCTACTTTTCAGATTCTTCTACAAACTCACTGGGCCTTGGAAACTGTCCTAGCTAAAGATGGAGGCAAAGTCAGTCATTCGGGAAGATTATTATATTACCAGTAAAGAGAGTTCATTTTGGGAAGTATTTTGGGCAGATGCTTTCCTTTCTAAAGCCAGAGGTATGCACCAAATAAAAACATGCCATAACGTTCGTCTCTTGCACAAATAAAGTTGAGCCCACAATTCAACCATTTCCCAATCAAATGGCTTAGGAGATATAATCAGTAGCTCTGCCTCAACTCTGTGCTTATGGCTCTCTTAAAAGAAATCCAAAATGAATATTGCTCTATTAAAAAGTTTCTAATCTGCACAATAAAGGCAGAGATTGAAGCCTGCAAGGCTTGAAGTCTTACCTCTTGGACGGCGGCGTCAGCTTGCTCTTGGGCACTGAAGTTCCTCCAACAGATGTGCGTGCTTTCAGGGGTGCATTTTTTGCCACAGTGACCAAGCTTCTAGAAGTGGAACTGCCACTGGAAGGGCCTGTGCTAAGGGAAGAAGCCTGTGGCTTTCGAACTCCGCTGACAGGAGCTGTGTAACTGCAAGCTTTCACCGGCTGCCTGGGTGTTAACAGAGAGTTTGTGCATGACCCAGCTTTCATTGGTTGTCGCACTGTTAGGGGAGACTGGCCAGCACTGGAGGAATACCTGAGCTTACTGGGAGCCAGACCTAGAAACGGAATGAGAAATAACAGCTCAGTATTTTAAGAACACAGCAGGGTACTGGGCCTCTTAAGGGCCTCCGTGTTTGTCAGGAAGTTTTAAACAGAAAAAGAAAAAACCAAAAGATATCCACTACAGCAGTGTGTAGAAGTGCTGCACTGACTTGCTGATGGTTGCTGAATTCTTGAAAGTCGACTGCTGGGCACCTGCAGATCCGACTCCAAGCTGCGACTGCTTCTCACAGACTCCAAAGCTCGAAGGCTCGTCCTGGCCAGGTTGGGCATGCTGTGGCGCATCTCCTCTGAAATCAAGAGCAAGTTGACCATTGGCTGCTTCTGGTAGCAACCAAGATGTATAACAGTATGGACTACTCCTAGAAAAATCCATGCACTTAAGGTAGACAGGTGTGTAATTAATTCCAATCAACTATTCCCAATAAATAGCAGTTCTTGAAATGAACACTTCAAAAGCAATGTGCCCAGGTGGCCAAGAAGGCCAATGGCATCCTGGCTTGTATCAGGAATGGAGTGGTGAACAGGTCTAGGGAAGCAATCCTGGCCCTGTACTTGGCACTGGTGAGGCCTCACCTCGAGCACTATGCTCAGTTTTGGCCACCTCAGTACAGAAAGGACATGGAGATGCTGGAGCAGGTCCAAGGAAGGGCAACAAGGCTTGTGAAGGGCTTGGAAAATATGCAACATGAGGAGAGACTGAAAGAACTGGGGCTGTTTAGTCTGGGGAAGAGGAGACTGAGGGGAGACACTGTTGCTCTCTTCCGATATCTGAAAGGTACTTACAGGGAGAGTGAGGTTGGTTTCTTCTCACTGGTGACAGGTGGCAGGACTAGGGGAAATGGCCTCAAGTTGCACCAGGGTAAGTTTAGGTTGGATATCAGGAAACTTCTTTGCAGAAAGGGTTGTTAAGCACTGGAATAGGCTGCCCAGGGAGGTGGTTGAGTTACCGCCCCTGGATGTGTTCAAAATCCATTTGGATGTGGTGCTCAGGGACACGATTTAACAGCAGGTTGTTAGTTAGAGTAGTTGGTTGTGGTTAGACTCGATGATCTTTAAGGTTTTTTCCAACCTGAGTGATTCTATGATTCTATGATCAGACTCTTCAAGATTGTTTTTCCCTTCCATTAACATAACTGTGCCATTAAAATACAGAACACTAGTATGACTAGTCGCCCTGGCAGGAAAAAAATTATTCCACATAGTTCTGTTATCCAAGCAAAACAGACACACGTTTTAATTACCCGATGTCAAAAGCTCACGAGCGGCTCACCTTCACTGCTGGCATACTTCAGGCGGTCCTGCATCGGGCTTTGCACGGATCTCCGCGGGGGACGGATCCGAGAGGCCCTGCTATAGTCTGCACTGGAAGAAGGGGACTGACATCTGGGGGAGCTGAGCGGAGACGGTGAGTATCTGTGAGCACTGCGGTACGACAGGGAACAGTCGTAATCGTCCTCGTCCTCCAGGCTGTAGGTGTCGAACTCCTGGTCGCTGTAGGTACCCCTGCGCAGGGAGTGCAGGGAGGCGCTGGAGCTGCGGCGCGATACGGACGCTGAGCTGGAGGCGCAGTCCTGGCGGAGACCTGCAGGGGGGTCGTAATGCAGCTCCACGTCATCCCACCTCACAGCAAAATCTCCCCACCTGCGTGCAGCGCTACAGAAGCGACGATTCTGCTGGTCGTTCATCTCACTTTGGAAGGAGGCCTGGGCTGATTTAACTATCTTAGCAAAGATGTTCTCAGCATATTGGATCTCTAAGCTGGAATAGTGTCACCTGTATCAGTACTGTGTCGTCAGAGCGAAGGGTTAATATTCAAAATGACCCAAATTGCTCCTTGTGTCACATACACGAGTAGCAACACTTCCAGAGTATGCATTACTATACAAGCTGTTAGGTAAAATACATACATGAGTCTAATTTACAGCACGAATATTTTAGTGCAATTAACGTGCACCCACCTGCATTGCAACAGGTTGAAGCACAGATTTGAACTTTCGCCTTGCAAGCGAATAAATACCTGCTTCTCACTGTCTGCCTCTGCCTGGCTTCCTTGTAGCTCCTCACCCAACTGGTGCCCTTATAGAAAAAGCTTTCCTGCCTACCCAAACACAACCACTTCTTACCAGTAACTCACTCAGCAAACTGGTTGAAGGGACTTTTAAAAAAAATGAGCCAGTTCACATTCTGAAAAACTTCTTTTCTCTCTCCAAAAAGCGCTCATTGGGAGGAAAACAGAACTTCATTCTTATTTCTTGTGAATCTAATGATGAATTTGCAGAGGCCAACAGATCCAACTGCTTTGTTCCACCTCAGTCTTCAATTAGGACCTTATTCAAATCCCACTGAGGTCAACAGAAATTCCAACCAATGATTTAATGGGCCCTGAAATCCCCCCACGCTACAACACAGATGCTTTATGCCTGGATGAATTTGCAGAGCCATCTCTGAGCATTTTAATTTAAATTGTAATTTCAGCTCTTTCAGTTTTAGTACTTTCAAACTCTGGGTTTGACTCAACACAGCAGCAAACGCAGCTTGTAACATTCAGCGCTCCAGCCAGCTTGCAATGTGATTTCAGACTGCAGTCAGGCAACTTTGCTCCAAAAAGAAATAAACTTACAAGGGAAACACTTAGCTGGGTTATTTTTTCAGCTGGAACATTTCCCCAAACCTACACGTGCTGCAGCTGCATGGCTGCTCCTGTTGGCTAAGCAAGGTAACAGCAACCAGACCGGTAACTGCAGGCAGCTGCTGCCACTGCCCTGAAACACTCACAAAACACCACCTGTAGTTGAGAGGCAGCTGGGATAGAACAGTTTGAAGGCAGAAGGCTGCTGGTATGTTTAACACGGCGGGGGCTTTGGATAATATCTTCAAGACCATCCCCTGCTCTAGGAGGTTTAATCTTGAGAATGCTGCACCACTGCTAAGTTGTAAGTGGCAATTTGTGGCTGTGGACTTTTGAAAGGAAGCCCTAGCAAAACACAAACATTTCAAATGATCTATTAAACCCTTTTGTTGTTGGGGGAAGAGAAGAACAGCTGAAATGCACCTACTTTTCTCTACAATTCTAAGACTGTACCACAAAGGAAATGGCTGTCACGTACTTTCTTCCTGAAGGCGTGCCATAACCTGGACATCAGTCAAGTCCTGCAGCTTATATCCCATGGAGATGGAGTCATCAGATGTGCTCAGCTCGCTGTCCACAGAAGACTGTGAGCTCAGTGCAGAATGCATGCTTAAATAACCTGTAAGAGGGAAAAGGAAGAACAGAAGAAGCATTCAGGCATCTGCATACAAAACAAGGATGAGCAGAAGAGCATTTATCCCTGTACTAACAACCAGTGCAGTTACAAAGCTGAGGTCTGATGGAAATAATGAAGAAGTTAGCAGTGACATGAGAATACCTTGCTCAGCTTTTTAACCTGCAGTTCTAAGGAGGCAGATGGTCTTTGGGTAGGGAGAAATTTGCCACCTTCTGGACAGAAGGCAACATAGATGTTACTGCTAAGTCTGAGCTTACAAATAGTTTTTCTAAGGTCAGTATTCATTCTTTCTGCCTGTTTTGAGAAAGGGACACCTGCTGATCTAGATATTAAGCAGAAGTTGCAGGATGTGTCTGCCAGGGTGTCAGCTGGCAACCGAAGGACAAAAAGGATCCAAGAGGCTTTCACACTGCAGTACCTCAAAAATCAGTCCCACACATTGCTTCTGTAAAGCACAGTTTATGCAGGGTTACCTCTTCCTCATCCTTGAGGTTTATCTGTTTCCTTCCTCTTATCATTAACTACGCTCTCACAGTGCAAGATAGAACAGGCGACGAAACCTTTACAAAAACCAAACTGGAAGGATCTTTATCCCAGTGAAGTTTTCCATACGTCAGGCACGAGAAAGTGGAACAAATAATTTTCCTTCAGAACAGTGATGTAAAAAACCAACATCATCATCAAGTGCAGAATGCTACCTGCTAGCACTACAGTTTGAAGATGCTCACAGATGCAGAAGTAGAAAAGTAACTGTGGCATAAAGGCTGTGTGCATGGCACAATACGTGATGCCCTCCAAAGCAAGGCATTCCAGCACTGAGACTGAACTTATTACTGAGGATTGCACCTGTGGGATGCAGTATAACAAAGAACTTCAGGTGCTGCAGAAATACTTCACTCTGATAAAAAGAGGAAGGCCGATGCTCTGATGCAAGGAACAGCTAACAACAGAGCTCTGAGTGCTGAGCATCAGTTCAAAGCCAGGAGAAGGATAACACACTCAACTTGTATCAGTTCCATACCACTGCTTTGCATGGCACAGCTTGGAACAGTTGGCAGAGTTCAAATTTAGGCACTGATAATATTTGGAAACGCTCGGTGGCAACAGAAGCACAGAAAAATCACCTCCAGTAAGAAAGAAGATTGGAAAGAAGAAATTAAGAACAATTTTATAGACTGTAAGAATCCTTCATCAACTGCCTTTCAAGCGTTTCATTCTGCTGACAAAACAACATTAGTAAAAAAAAATA